TGACTGGAATTGCCCAGGTGTTAATTGCCTTGATGGTATTTCTGCCACTGAGTTTGAACTTTAAGATCTTCTTCACTCTCATGATGTGGTCACTACTAATCTTCTTCTTGACTTCAGTGTGGTTGATGTTGTCAGCTTGAAGGATGCCCAGCTATATGATGATGATGACGATGTTGACGATGATTTCAACAGCAGCAGCAGCAGCAGCACTGACATTCCAAATTATCTAGACTCATGGTGGCTTACAGTATAAAGTTACAATAACATGTATCTGCAGTAAGAACATTAACATAAAGACAATAACATATAAATGGGTAAGAAAACTAACTCACATCATAGCACAATGCAACCATAATGAATCAGAAACAAAAGTAACAGTTCAACCATAAAATATCAAAGGTAAACAGTAATATCCCAAAGACTTTCTAGAAAACTTTGATCTTTGCTAACTTCCAGTAGGCCAAACCCACTTCTGGAGAGGCCATTCCAGAACATCAGTGGTTATCTGGCTGCAGTGACACAAGATGGATGCCTGTCATGCAGATGACACAGGAGTTACATACAAAAAGGCTGCCCAGAAAGAGATTTGGACTACCAATCCCTGTTTAATTTTTTCTAAACATTCACAATTACATTTACAACCCAATGCCGGGGTTTTACAAAAAGGTAAAGATGTTGCATGTGTACTGAGTTTGGGATATTTTGCATAATTGCCTTGAAGTTGATAAAAAAGATTAATCTCTCAGGCAACATTTATTTGCACCTAGCAAATCCAGGCTGTAGTGGTTAACAGCAGATCCAACAGATAACAATCAAACCCAACAACAAATATGAATGAACCGAAGAAATACAACTGAAAGTGAAATGTTTAAAGTTGTAAAAGCCAGTGAATCTTAATCTCAGTAACATTTGGGAAATAATTCTAGGAAATGTACTTCTTAGGAGCTCAAGAGTGAAACTGTGACTAGTTATCCCACCCCACTTCATTGCTTTGAGGGATTTTTTTCCTCCATAGATAAAGAATTAACATTTCTATTTGTGCAGGTGCCCAAATTCCCCACACCACACGTAGAGGTGAGGTGGCAGAAAGCCTCTCCTGAATTAGCCAGCATGGCTGATTTCGAAGTAGGGACCAATCTTGACTGCAGAGCTCTGGACAATCACAAGATGGCAGCAAAGTGATACAAAAACCTTCTAATTCTTTGCTGACCACTTTGGCTCCAGCCCCGAATTCTAATTCAGTCCAGAGGACTGTATATGATCGAGAGGTGCTTTCTGGCAAGGAACTGATAATGGTGGAATATGGCTGCACATTTCTAAGGAAAGCAGGGCTACAATCCCATTTATGAGAGCTGTCAGACTTTAGGTACTCAGTGCAACTAATGTGGCTTCATTGCAGACAAAAGATAAATTATACTCAGGTCTCCCGCAGAACATAGGAATCAAGTTGTGTGGGTGCACACATGCACAAATGAATATACACGTGTGTCAGCCACAGGATTTAAATCTTAGGCCTTTCCCCTCTGTCTCTGAGTTAATGGATCTGACTGTTCTTTTCCTGGCTTTGAGAGCTAGGATTTTGTTTTTTTTAATGTTCACAAGCTGATTCCATCTGGTCTGAGAATTTCTGATTCCCACCTCACCAGCTTCAGTCCCTATACTTGCATGTGTGCAGCCAGTGAAGGTCCTGCAAGAGATACAAGGGGAGGAGGTACAGGGGAGGAAGAGGAGACGGGGAAGTCAGCTTCACATATGGATGTGCTCCCAGGACTGAGATGCTGCTGAGCTACAAGCCATTGGTCTAAGCTTTGGCAAACTTTTTTTCACATATTGTAAGATACCTATTTTTTCCCATGACTGGTTCGGAATGTCTTTTCTTTGCTCAGCCTTTGCCCTGCCTCCTTCACTATCATGGGGACTTTTAAATAAATGAGGAAAGGACCATCTTAAAGCCTTCTACAGTTTTGTCTTGGCTGCCTCACACTAGACTTGTTTTTTGCCCTATGTACCGGCTGTTACAGAAGATGTGACTAGATGCAACAGTTGTTGTACCTACAACAAACCAGCAACAGTTGTTGTTGGTTTCTACCCTAGGAGCAAAGCTGCAGCTCTGATCATTTGTGTTTATCCTATGCAGGAGTGCACGTGGTTGCCATTCCACAGAACGAGAAGAAGGTGCTGCTGTTGCAGGTTTGCAGCCTGCGTTTCTTCCTGGGTTTGGTGTTGCCACATAACATCGGACGGGAGGAAGGTTTTCATTTGCGCCCACTGATAAACAAGTCACTGGTGTTCTCATTCTCCAGCTATTGCAACATGGCCAGCCCTTAAAGATGGTCTAGAAATTGGCAATCAGTGGGCATGGTGCTTCTCAAAATTCTGCCGTGTCCCCAGGGCTAAAGCAGCATAATTAGGCCAGCTGCTTGCAGAACTGCCTGCTCCGCTGCGGTCTGCCTCACTCTTGGGACTGCCAGTGGAGCCACCAAACTTCCCTTTGGAGTCCATGCTGATCCCACTTCTTCTGAAAGGGGGCTTCTTATTACACTTTGGGGTGGGTGGAGCCAAGATCTTATTTGCCAGGCCTTTTGATGTTTTGTATTTCTTACGTTTAAGCATGCTTCAGTGATCGCTTTTATTGTAACTCTGTAAGCCTCCCGGAGCTGACAAGAGGGTCGATGCCAGGCACGCTACCTAACAAACCGGCCAGGCCGCGAGAAGGCAGCCCGCTGGGGCTGGTCCCGCTCGGGATGGCTCCTGGCCGCAGACCTCTGCTGCCGGGGCAGGGCAAAGGGTTCACAGGCCAAGCGGATTCCTCCGCTGAGCTCCAGGGGCTTCTTGTGGCCCCCTTGGAACGGCTTTAGGGGGCCTGGCAGGAAGGACCGAAGGGCAAGACTTCAGGACGGCAAGCGCTGGATGTGTAACTAAGGCGGCTGACTGCCTTTTAAGCAACTATGTATTTAAGAACGGGCTTTTGGCTCAGGGTTCAAGTGGCAAAAGCTTCAATCCTTGCACACAAAAGAATCCAATGGAACAATTTAAGCTCATACCATTGCGGCAAAAAAGGGCAACAAAGAAGGACAATTTTACCAAGAATTGTATATTTTATGCTGATAATCTCAAAACTTAAAAATAAAGCCCCAAGCCCTCTCAAGAAAAACATTCTGTAATAAATACAGAAATGCTGCATCCTGTCTTAATACCAGAGGGTGAGACGCAACAGGTCGGCTCCCCGCCATGAAATAGCGGAATTCCTCTTCCGGCCAAAAGACTGGGAAAGCGTCATATTTTCAAGCCTCTTATTTAGCCTCCCTTCTACTTGTTCATGTTAATGATTATTTTCCAGGTGCATCTGAAACGCCATCATTCCCTCTTGGTTATTCTTTGCAACTTGGTTTCATCCTGCATTCCGCTCAGTCTTGACCAACTTCACACAGAATGTTTTAAAATTTGCAACAACTGTTAAGTGCAGTTCATGCTCATTCATTCACCTTCTTTCTTCACAAGCAGCCCAGTCATACGGGCATCCACAGCCCTAGCCCTACCCCTGAAATAGTCCTCGAACTCTTTGAACTGGCTACGCAGTGATGTGCAAGAGCGTGCAATTGCACCCCCATGTCCTGCTGCCAGGGTGGGCGCAGCTCCACAGATACTGAGCAGCACCCCTCCCTCTAGCAGCATACAACCGTCTAATCCGGAATGGACATGAGCTCCTTTCAAAACTGTATGCATCTACAAAGAGGCTGGCACTGCAGGATCCAGAGGAGGCCCATACCACGGAGTGTGCGTCAAGTTTCTCCCATCTCTGCTTGATCTCATCCAAGTCAAAGCTAGGTCTCTCCTGACTTCCCTGTTGGCTAGAGGGCCAGAAGATGAAAAGGTGCTTGCCCTCCTTATCTTTTAAACTGAAAAGATGGATCAGCTTCTTTCCCTTGTCCTCAAAGGGGAGCAATTCGGGCCTGCAAACTATCTGCTCATTTTCACAGGAGGAGATGCTTTAAATAAATCCAAGTGCTTTTTGTGCACAAAGATGTCTATTGCAATATTTCAAAAGACTGTAAATGCACATTTATCACATGTGTATATTGATGATGAAATAAAATAGAAATGCACATGTTCATTCATTTGCACAAATACATTCTCAAGAAACCATTGTGCACTGTATTTTAATGTGCACATTTGTCCATGCACGTGGCTTAATGGAGGAATTAAAAAAAGAATGAAAACCTGAAGGAACAGAGAAATGCAGCAACAGGCAATTATGCTCACACAATATTTACAAAATTTCAAAATCCAATTTAGATAACAACAGATAACTTATAAATAAGTGCTGCTATGTGACCAGAAACAAATAATTCTGAACCACAGATCCAGTGAAAAATTCAGAAGAAATATCCCATGGAATACAAAGTATGCCATGATAAAACTGCAAAGTTTCTGGAATAAACACCTGCTCAGTGTTGACCCAGCTGTTCCTGCTACATCCTAGCAGTCTTTGTGAGAGCTTACAATTGCTGAGCCCAGAACCTGCCTGGACTGTGTGGGTGGCTTTCTGCTGGACAAAGTTACCCCCTTCTGTCTCTCATCAAACTTTCTGAATGGCCAGGCCGCTCCAAGGTGGACTTAATTTGCTCCCCAAGTTGGGGACCTCTTTCTCACTGAAACTCCAGCCACTCCAGTGAGAAAGCCCCCCTCTCCAGCTGGCCGGAATGGACTCCCCAGAGGCCATGGGCATAAAGAGCACCTGGCATGTGTCACCACAGGATGAGCAAGGCATGAAGCTGGCTTCCGGCAGGATGGAGAGTAGGCAGGATTGGGGGAGAGGGACATCAGACTCTACCTTAGAGATGCACTTTTCTGTGTGGGTCCCTCAGAGACACCCCCCCCCAACAGTAAATACATCCAAGAACATTCTTGATTTTCTTTTCTTTTTTAAAAAAATCACAGTTTGGTTCACATAGGAGAGGAAGTCAGCTGAATAAAATTAATCATAATAAAAGGTAAAAATGAATATAGAATCAGTGGGGTGACCAAAGCACCCCTCCAGGGCTCCTCTGTCCGGGACTGCATGGACATGTGGAGGGTGCGCAGTTAGTTTCAATCCTTGGGGATCATACCCTTGATGGCTGACTCCCGGTTGACATATGTTGCCCAGTACACCATGTTGAAAATGGCAAACAAGACTGGAAAGACGATGCGAGACATTTTGTCTACCTTGCTGACACTGTTGTAGGTCTTCTTGCTCTCCAGAGGCTTCTCTTCCAATCGGGGCACCTTGGCAGGGGGGACCACCACAGCAGCAGGGGTGGCTGTGGGGGCAGCTGCGCTCTTGGCAATGGTTGGCAGGGGAGGCTCCTTGGTGATACTGAGGGCATATGTGGTCCCCACAATGTTGTAGGTGTTGTTGGTCTTCTTAGCCAAGGTGGCTGGCTCTTTTTTCTGAGAAGGGAAACAATGACGGTTAAATAATGGCACAGCTGCCTGGATAAAAGTGCAGCCAGAAATATTTGCCTCTGTGGAAATGGGAGGGTGAAAAAATGGGGTGGCATTGCTCTGATTTGGCCCTAAAATGGATCTCTAAGAGCCATTCTGGAGGAGAATGGGCCAGCGCGGCACTTTTGAAACAGGGCATCTCCTGGAATCAAGGCCCTTCAGAAACGCAGTTCTAAGATCGGGCATCCTTTCTTGGAAAGAACAGAGAGTCCCTTGGAGGCGTTTTCTGATATGAATGTGAGAGCTTTGGAGAGGTGCTTGCTCTAAGTGTCCCTTTAAAGAAGCATGACAAAAAGAAGTGTTGCCAGTCGGACTGCTGTACATCAGACAGAGCAATGACACGATTCCCTTTTTGGATTAAGTACGTTGTGGCTTGTTACACTGTGTGAACGTGGCCAGAATTTCTCTGGATCCCTCAACCCGGTTTCTCTGGTGCCTCCCCTTCCTTTCCTCTCCATTCTCACCTTCATCTCCTGAGCTTCCAGCGCCTTCTTGCCCTCCCAGGCCCAGCTGCGCTTGGTGAAATAATTGACGGCAGCAAATTCAATCAGCGCAGAAAACACGAAGGCGTAACACACAGCCATAAACCAGTCCATAGCTGTGGCGTAGGCCACCTTGGGAAGGGAGTTGCGTGCACTGATGCTCAGAGTAGTCATGGTCAGGACTGTAGTGACGCCTGTGAGAAGGAAAGCAGAGGAGAGGCAGCTGAAGGAGTCAGCGCTTCCACTCTTAGGTCTAACTTTGACAGAAGTTAGCAGGCCTCCGTGGACCTCTTGGCCACAGCAGTCTCCAACGACCAAAGGAACTGGTGGCCTATGTGAGCACGGCCCGCCCCAAACCCAGTGGAGCCATGGCTAGCAAGATCACCTGCTCTGTGGCCCCCCAAAAATGGAGGCAACCTGTTTTGGGCAGGGATTCCTATTAGTGGGGCTCACAGTTCAGTGGCAAGGGATGGGAGGACCAGGACAGAGAAAGTCCTGAAGTACGTGATTATTTGCATTGATTAAATTGAAATCCTAACTTTCTGCTTAGGTAAGCGCAATTACAGATGGCTCACAATTAAAACAAAATACAAAACATACAACATGACCGTAAAATCATACAACTGAAATCAGTCAACAGTTCAACAATCTTGCCAAAAGAAAAGTGCTTCCAACATAACGTTGTATAAATGCACTGCCTTTATTTCACCTCTGTTTTTCTGTTAGGGACCTGCAAACTGCCAGGCCTGTGTATCCTGATCAGGCGTGCAGAGACTAGGCTGGCCACCAAGAACACTCACCACAGCAGGGAGGACTGGCTGCTTTTTCAGCCTGCGCGGGTTTCTTTTCATAAATTGGGAAAAATCACCCAACAATCTTTCGAAATACAACATCAAAGATGTTTGAAAAACTCTACAGTGAAGGACAAATTCAGCCAAATTTAGTCACTGCTTATTTGCTATATTAATAATAATCTGCTCTCCTAATGGATTATCCTTGCCATTTTGGATAGAAATCTTGAATATTGGTGTTTAATTTAGTTTAATTTAATTTAATATGTTATTTATTTATTTATTTATTTAGCATATTTATATAGCCCACCCATCTCACAAACACATGACTCTGGGCGGCGTAAAACACAACAGTTAACAACTCCATAACCATCTAAAAACAATAAAAAATAAATCAAATAAACAGATAAACAGATAAAACCCAAGAAAGTGGGGGAATGAACATCACTTGAGATATATAACTGAGTATCGTCAGCATACTGATGATACCTCACCCCTTGGTGATGGATGAGCTCACCCAGCAGCTTCAGGTAGATGCTAAATAGGAGCGGAGAGAGTACTGAGCTCTGCAGAGTACTGAGCCCCCACCTAAGAAGGGTCTAATAATTTTTACTTTTACATACTTTACATAATAAGGATCTTAGTTTTTACTTCTCAAGACAACCTATGTATTTATATAGAGGTGAATTAGTATTAATTAGTATTCCTTTTTTAACCCGGGCTCTTGATTTTTGTAATGCATTATTCCTGCAATGATCTTTTCCTACTGAAGGAGGAGAAGGAGAAGAGAAAGAGTGCCCGGGCAAGGAAGGCGGAAGGCCCCCCGGTGGCAAGCACCCCGCTGGCTCTTCTGGCCTGCCTCCCCTTTCTCTCCTCCCTCTGGTTCACTCACGGCTGCCTCGAGTCCTGCTCAGCTGACACACTCACCAAACACGGTCCGTGCTGGGACACTCTCCCTGTTGAGCCAGAAGGAGACCTGGGACAGAATGACTGTCATGATGCAGGGCAAGTAAGTCTGGATCACAAAGTATCCGATCTTGCGCTTGAGATGGAAGTAAGTGGTCATCACAATGTAGGTCCCTGGAAAGAGAAATACCGCAATTGCAATGATATTAACATCCTGTGGACAATCCAGGCAGCAAATGCACCAATTCAGCTGCCATCCTTATATATGTCCAGTAAAATTGCTTGCTGGGGTGACCAGCTGCAGCAAACAATCCAGGTGCATCTAGACCTGCTTCCTTTCCCTTTAAATCTGCCTATCACGTGCTACATCTGTAACTGTTCTATAGGTACTTTTCTGGCCTCACAACTTGGTGCCATCTCTCTAGGGAAATGAAACAGCTGGCAATGCTCTTCCCAGGATCTTCTACAATCTCCTTTCATGAAACAGGATGGAGCCCTTAAATCTAGTCAGTGAATTGGTTTGTATGCTCAAACTACCTGCATTACTGCACTAAGGGACCCCTTGTGGGTACAAGTTTCCTTGGATGGTCCTGCCGTCTGCTGACAGTGATGGAACCACCCAGCCCCCGAGCTTAGATGGACACGAGACACGTTTTTTCTCTATCTTGCCACAAGAAAGATCAAGTATGGTGAACATAATCTTTATGGAAATCAAACAAGCTCTTCATGGGATCATCCAATAGTAAGGGCTGTTCCCAAAAACTGCCCCCCCTTAAAAGTGACCTCTATTTCTGCAGCCTGGATTACCTCTGCTTCTTGTGGCCTTCAGGAATATAGCCACTCCATTACCTGTGCTAGACTCAATGGAGTCTCTTCCTACATTGTGGCCAAGGAGGTCGTATTGGTTGAGGCGTGAGCCACCTTCAGCCACCTCCACTTTTCCCAGGGTCCAAGTGTAAATGACTTCTGTCTTGGTGTAGGCATCTATGGAGGAAGAGTTACAGAACAGGTGGAAGCCGCGCCCAGAAGGCTTTTGCCCAGTTTTGGTTCGACTTCATCTAGAGCAGGAGGCACTGAAAAAGGTACAACCTCTCCTTCAAGCTGAAGAACAATAAAATACTTACAGCTCCCAAACTTCAGTGGGCAGGCATGCACATCCATGGGGAAATCCTCCAAATGCATAGGGCATTCTGCATGAATGGTCAATCTGCAAAACACAGGGTCCACTGCTGATGGGACTATCAAGCAGGAGTGCCCAGGAAGGGTTCTAAGGACAGTTTTACTGACAAATTGAGACCTATGGGGACCCCTTTGATTAGTGTCTTTCTCAGGTATCTACCAATTTGTCTTTCCACCGGAGATGGTGCTGAGTCATAAGATGTATGCTTTTAAAGCTGCCTCAGTGTGCCTATGTTTCTACTTCCCTGAGGTGCATTGCGTTGTGGGGTGGGCTGGGACAAGCCCAGAGTGCGCAGAACCCAACTGTCCCTTTCTGCAAGTGGCTGTGGGAGGGAAGCTCCAGTGTAAGCAAGGTTCACTCTGGCCCCTCCATCTGACCTCTCCGTGGCCAATCTGATGTTGCCCTGTAGCCCTGCCTGCTGCTTCTGGAGTCAGAGCAGCAGTCTTCCCTCTGTCAAGGCCCAAAGAGGTTCCTCTAAGGTACTGGCAGGGCACCCCATGCCACAACCTCAAGGACACCCAGCCCCAGAGGCCCCAACCCACCTCATGGTGTAGAGGAGGGTGCCATTATCCACCAGTCGAAGCAATTTGTTTGGTGTGGTCATGTTATGGGCCACCGATTTCTTTCCATTGTGGAAAAAGGTGTCTGGGGTCCAGATCTTACTGGCTAACAAGTTGTTCAGGGGCAAAATCTTCATTGGGCCATCAAATTTCAGCCGCTCATCTCGCCAGGATTGCCGGAAGAACACATCAATGGTGTACTCCTGCCAGTGAAGAAAGGAGTTGAAGCTTTTCCCCTGCAGATAGTTTAGGACGTCTGAGGAACAGACCCTCCCCTCCCCCTGCCTCACAATAAAGAAGAATCCTGGTTCCAGCAGACTTCACAAAGTTAAACCATGGCACACGCCTCTCGGGTCCTCTGTTCAGCGTCTGTCTGGTCTGCTATACCCCTCGCCAGAATTAGCACCGGCTCCACAAGCAACAGAGTGGAGAACCCGAGGAAGCCTTTTGTGCCACTGCCCCAGCATCGCGCATTGTGATCCGCTGGTGCTGCACCCGGAGCCCTGCTCATGGTCCTGCCTTCCTGCCCTGTCAGGTTCACCGCAGTCGGCTTCTGCCGCTGTAGCTGCCTTGTTTTCTCCCTTTTCTCTTCCTGTCTCAGCGACGCCCTAACCTGGCTGATTTCCCCGTGGCAGGACACGGGGCGGCTGAAGGAATTCAAGGGCACTCGGGGGCGCCCCAGCTATGCTCCTGTCCCCAGAAACAGCTCAAGGAAGGGGAAGGCTGTTGTGGAGCGCTGCCTTTTCAGACCTCCTTGGGGGCAATAAAATGGTGAGAGCTGGGGTGGGGGGTGGGGGGTAGGGCGATGATCGCGCATCCCCCTCCTGAACCCTCGCTCTTGGCTGGGGAACAGCTGCTGGTGCCCTAGGCATTTAGATTCAGGAGGAAGCGCTGCAGAGCCCTTCCAAGCCCCCCCCCCGAATCGTCGTAAGGAGAAAAGGCCCAGCAACAAGTGCAGAAAAACAGACCCCCTCCCAGCAGTTGCCATGGTAACAATCTTGTGGCAAAGAGCGCTAACGATGATGGAGGCAGAGCGCTGCCAGCCGCAGCAGCAGCAGCAGTCACTCCTCCCAGGAACGCTGTGCTGGCCCCCAACGGTCTTGGGGCAGGGAAAGGCGGCCTCCCCTTCAGCCAGCAGGAGGCCACAGCACTCCTGCGTCCGGCCTTCCCGCCTCTGGCAGCGCTGCTGGGGACCACTGCGGGGGGGGGGGG